TTTTATTGCTTACTGAATAAGAATGTCTACAATGCTTTGCCAGTTCACACRAYTCRCAATGAARRCTCGATAAARACACTCCCTTAAACATATCTGGAAACAAATGACTCAAAGCAGAAAAAGACAAATGACCAAACCGAAAGTGACATAACAAGACTTGGTCAATAGACTCTGACAAGACTGACTCTAAGGCAACTCCATGAGGTGGTCCAAAAGCTCTATCCGGTGTGTCCAACAAGTATATTTCGTTTGCCTCATAGCCACTCCCAATCATCCTCTGAGATTGCAGGTCCTGAAAAACACAATGAGTGGGAAAAAGGGTTATACTACAATTCATGGATTTAGTTAAGCTGCTAACAGATAAAAGGTTTGTATTAAGTTTAGGGACATGAAGGACAGAGGATAAATAAAGGGTGTCAGAGGTCTTTATATCCCCTTTACCAGAAATGGGAGCAAGAGACCCATCAGCAAGGGATATTTTCTCTTTACCAGAGAGAATGTGGTATGAGCAGAGGAGATTAGATAGTATGGTCTGATGCACCGGAATCAATAATCCAAGGGATTTTATGATTACCTGAAACTGAAGCATGATTTGCAGAAGCACGAATACCTGAGTGAGCAAATGTAGATGATGATGGTGTGTTGCTGGAAGAGTGAGATGAAGAAACAGTAGCTTCCAAGTGATTTAGTAGCCTCCCATATTTTTCAAAATCTGCCTTCATTGCTGCCAACTGCTCAATGGTTGATTTTTCTTCTCTCCTTATTTCCTCCTTCAGGTACTGTAGCAACATTAGCTGTCTTAGGCTTTCCTACCTGACTGCCCTTCTTAGAACTGTTGTTATTCTTAAACCTATTAGGAAGAAGCTCAGGATGAAGCTTCCAGCAAGTATCCTTTCCATGCCTCGGTTTCTTGCAATATTCACATATCTGCTCCTTTTTCTCAGTATGACCCTTTGGCTTTATTCCAGCATGTGCAAAGTATTCTGTAGGTGGACTCTGTAATTGAACTTGTCGCCTACTCTCCTCACTGCTTATCATAGCGTATGCCTGGGAAAGAGTAACCTCATCTTTGGCTAGGATATTTTGCTTAATGATGTCAAATTCAGGGTTGAGTCCAGTAAGAAATTCAAACACCTTATTTCTCTCCACCAACTTCCTATACATTTCAGCATCATTCTTACTCTCCCATACAACTGTCTCCATAACATCAATTTCTTGCCATCGGGATTTCAGTATAGAATAGTAGATTGTTACACTCTTCTCCCCTTATCTTAGGTTCTTTACATCACTTTTCAACTTGTAGACTCTGGCTACATTCAACTTCTGTGAATAGGTCTCAGTAACACTGTCCCATATCTCCTTAGCCGAAGACATTCAGAGATAATGCTGACTTATATGAGGTTGCATAGAGTTGACCAACCATCCAATGATTGTATAGTTCTCCTGCATCCATTTCTCAAATTCAGGGTTTGTCTCTTTGGGTTTCACTTTACTACCTGTGAGATACCCGAGTTTTCCTCTACTACAGACATCAATTCTTATAGACTATGCCGAAGCAAGATAATTTGTCCCATCTAACTTAATTGCGGTCACACCAGTCAAAATGAAATCTATCGAGCCAAGGCCGGAAACCGGAACTTGCTTGAACTCGCTTCCGTATGGCTCCATTAATCAAACGAAAATCAAAGAACCAGAAATTTGGTCTATATAAACTTATTTGAAGTCAAACCAGAACCCAGATGCTTGAAAACTAGGGTTTTACTCCGTCCAACTGTTGGGGAGGAAGAGTGAAGATGTAGCCGCTCCTACTAGAGCTTCCCAATCTCTTCCAAACCTGAACTGCCCTCCTTTAGGAGTCAAAAGACACCTCCCAAGCACAAAGCGCCACACCCAAAGCTTCACCTTTACCTGTACCTTCGAAAATCTCTAGTCGGCTAGGGTTTTGGGCAGCAACAGAACAACACCACTTCTTGGCAATATCAAGCCAGATTTAAACTCTTCAAACCCTCTACCAACTAGGCTAGAGATCCTCTAAGCTATAGAGAACCTATCTCTCCATATACTCTCTTAATCTAAGGGTGTATGGGAAAAGAGGAAGAAGAAAAGAAGGAAGAAGAAAAGAAGGAAGAAAGAAACCTGCTCTGATACCAAGATGTAAACCATTCCTCAAAAATAGGTGTAAACTTGAAAAGTTAGAGAGAAAAAGGAGGAAGAAAAGTAAGAGCAACAGTACAAGAGAAGAAGATGGAGAAAAGAGGAGGAAGTAGAACAAAGGTTCGAATAATCCTTCCCTTTCTTCTCTAATCCTTTTTACTAAAAAATTAATGTTAAAATAATTACAAGTATGCCCTTAAGTGGGTGGCCAGCTAGACAATAACATAAAGAGATCAAACAAAAAGAAATAGGCCCATTAAGAGAGGCCCATTAGCTAACAGGAAAATAGAATAAATATTACAAGAGAAGATACTAGGACCCATTTGGCCCAGTCTCTTTACATTTTCAACCCGTTGTTGACTCGGTCGGTCAAACCATTCGAACCATCACCCGACTAGGATTCCGGGTCTGGTTCAGTCAAGACCCGTCAGACGGTAAAAAACCGTTGACTTGGTCAAGAACCATTCGACCCGGCCAGTTTGGCCGTTGACCCATTTGACCCGGTGCCGGGTTGCACACTCAATGCATGCAAAACTTTCAGAGGCCATAACTTTGCACTTCGATGCCCAATTGGGGTGATTTTTTTTTTTTTTTTTTTATTTTGGGTCACTTTTCAAGATCTATGCGTCCCAAGCGGCCATAGGCACCTTGCCCCACTATTTTCGCGAAAAAACCCCTTTTTTGGCCTCAAATTGCAATTTTTAATATTTATTATAAATAAAAAAATTAAAACATAAATTTAATATAAAATAATACATATAACATATCTAAAACATATTTATACATTATTTATTGCTAAAATATATATTTACACACACACACACACACACACACAYATATATATATATATATATATATATATATATATATATATATATACATGCACACACACACATATACACATACATATATGTGTGTGTGTGTGTTCGACCTGAACGGCCTGAACCATTCGACCCGACTGGCCAAACCAGTAACCCGTGATTCGGAGGCAAAAACAGTTCGGTCTCTGGATTGGTTTTTAAAACATTGAATGAGACTAGTAAACATGTACGTGCATTTGCACGTGACAGTATCTCCAAGACAAAACTATTTACAATTCATGGACAGTTTTTGAACAGTTATAAATGGGCAGTTTCTTAACTGTTATAAGTGGACAGTTTTTGAACAGTTATAAGTGGGCAGTTTCTTAACTGTTATAAGTGGGCAGTTTTTGGAGTGAGAGTAAAGGACATATATGCCCTTTTTTATGCCCGTTGTATGTTGATTAGGTAAGGGGTAAAAATGTCTAATGAAAAGTCCAGAAAATGGGGCTATTCTCTCTTTTATTAGTAGTATAGATAGTATAGATATAGATATTAGGGGAAGGATTACTGAATTCCTAGAAGCAAACCCTTCATGTTATGTTATAATAAGCATCTGTTATACTCCATTATTTGCACACTACATATCTCATAAAGGAGCCATTTTGTGGTGGAATGATAAAATATCAGGCTGAGAAGTGTTAAAACATGGGTTTTAGGTAATGGCTATTTTTGTATAATATGGCTTAAGAAATTGAGGAGATGGTACTTGGGTTATTGAATCCCTTTTTTTTGGTAATACGTTATTGAATCCCACTTGGTTAAAGTTTGGTGGACTTCCTTGTGCTTTATCACATTTTTTTTTTTATTGATGTTATTCTTTTCCTTCTTAAGCATAGACAGTAGAATGGGAACATGACCAAGCTAATTATGCCTCTTTTTTCTGATATCTTGGTTTTGTTTTTCTTAACAAGATGGCTGTTCTATTATTTTGTTTACATATTTTTTCCTAGCAGTCTCGAGGTTAGTTGCTCAGTTGTGCTAGCTACTCTGGATTTGATTGCATTATTTTATTGTATCAATGCTATGAAATATGTTTTTGTTGCTGGTTGGTAAGGTCTCCTGCTGGTTGTATCGGAGACTTGGGATTGAATCCCACCTGCACCTGGGTCGGGGGACAGGCTACCTCCTATTGTGTAGCCCTTCAGAACATATAAAAAAAATGTTTTTGTTCTATTTTGGGGATAATCCCCTCAAAATTCTTTTCTAATGATTTCTTTTATCCTTGGTTAGATGCCTGAATGGACTTGAATGTATTAGGTTTAACATGCAATTCAATTTTTACCAGTCAAGAAAAAAACATGCATTTCAATTTTAAATATATAATATCAATTTAGTTGACTTAATTGGGGTGCAGTCTCATAAAAGTTTATGTCAATTGTTGCTTTGTAGGTTTATTTCATGGGAGAAAAAGTTGGTGAAGGAATTGGTAGAACACGGAAAGAAGCCCAGCATCAGGCTGCTGAGAACTCTATTAGGAATTTGGCCAGTAAGCACACTATACTTAATACTCTCTTAGGCAGACCTTAGATTTTGATTTATGCTTAACTATTGCAAATGAATTGATTATATTGTCTTAATATTCTCCAGGGACCAGTAGGGAGCTTTTCATGAATGAATACAATTTGTTGTTATTGATAAAAAAAATCACCAAGAACCAATTTCTACTATATCATGCGATAAATTCCTTGTGAACTGAAGCCAGAAGATTTCTTGTTTTTTTATGTGCAACCAGTTGAAACTATACCTTCATTGCTATCTTTATGGTGGCTTCAACACTTTGCTCAATATTTTTCTTTCAAGTAATATTCCACCAAATAGTACATTGCTGCTCAACTTTCTCTTTCCTCGTATTTTACATGATGGTCATGAATCATTGTCCATACCCCAGTCCCCAGTTGATATGTATTGACACTGGTAAGTAGGTTAATGGGACCAATGCATTCTATTTTCCTCTTGGTGCATGCACTCTGTCATTAGTCTTTCAAGCCTGTGTCTCCATTTCTGATGGTCAGAAATATATTAGCTAGTTTATGTTCTTTTGGTAAACTTTTGGTAAACATACCTAGTTTCTGTTTGGTAACTGCTTTTGAGATGAAGATTCATATATAAATATTTTTGCCTTTTCTCCCTCTTTCTCTTCTACAATGGGGGTGGTGTCTTTGTGTGAAGGTTGTTTGTTCAAGTTATCATTTCTCTTCTCTCAACATGCATTCTGGATGATTCTAACCACATGGTCATTATTTTTTACAGATAAGTATCTGTCACATATTAAGTCTGATCCAAACTCTTCGCATGGGGATGGGAATAAGCTTTCTCATGGAAATGAGAATGGGCTTCTGAATGATACAAATTCTTTTGGATCTCTTCCATTCTCCAAGGAGGACTCTCTTTCACTTTCAACGTCATCAGAGTCCTCCAGGTTTGTTGAGACAAGGCTGGAGGGATCAAAGAAATCGGTGGGCTCTCTTTCTGCCCTGAAGGAACTAGTAAGCTGCCACAACTTGAACCTTGTTGTTTTCTAGTTCTTTGATTTAGTTTCTTAAGTTTGCATTTTATTATTGATCATTGACATGTCAAGGCTTTACTTCCCAGTGCACGGTCGAGGGACTTAATCTAGCTTTTCAAATGCCCCCAATTTCTGCAAATTCAACACAGAAAGGAGAAATCTATGCAGAGGTTTGCATTTTACATGATTAGGGATGCTCGCTGGTGCTTCTTTTTAAGAAGTCATGAATGCTTTACTTGTTTTTACTATGTTTGAATATCCAACTGACTAGTAGCCAATGCATCATGTAGTCATCAGTAAGCTCTAACAACAATTTTTCTTTTAGATTTTAAGGATTCCTTGATTTATTTATTGATTAGTAAAATCAGTCAAGGAATAGAGAACTTGAAAATAAGATTGAAGTTTGTACTTGTAATTTATAGTGAAGCATGTGCTAATTCAATTTGTAGTCAGTCTCTCAAGAGTTAGTTAAGGAATCAACTACCTTGTCTATAATGGAACCAAAAGTCTGCACCTTGATTTATACTGCATATGCCTATTTATTCAGGCAATTTATTTTCTGGGTAATCTCTTAGGTGAAACATACATCTTAATGATTGTGCCAAGTAATGAGCGACAGTAGAATATGCATTATTACCAAAAGCCTGGGGATTAAAAATTGGCTGAAAAATCCTAAAAAAGAGCAAATGCCTTTTAATCTTAGACTTGCATAATACATGAGCACAATCAAAGTGGAGATTTTCATTGGTGGGGTCTCAGTAGAACCCATATTTCATGCTTGGTAGTACAAACCTCTGATTACAGTTTTGCCTTTTGGTTATTAGTTGTCCTTTCCCAATTAGTAATCCCTCTGGTTGTTACTGTCACAGGTTGAAGTAGCAGGGCATGTATTGGGGAAGGGAATTGGGTCATCATGGGATGAAGCTAAAATACAGGTATTAATGTATTATACAATCCCTTCCCCTCTCTAAATCTTACTGGCACCAATGCTAACATTTTTTTAATCTGAAAACATGGCAATCTTTTTACATAGGCTGCAGATGAAGCCCTTGGAAATCTAAAGTTGATGCTTAGTCAGAATACTCAGAAACGTCCGGGTTCTCCAAGGTGGGGTACTTCAACCTGTTGCTAGTTTTGATGGTTTGTTGGTTGTCATTGCCTCACTGTTCATATGGAATTTCTAATATTAAGATTTTTTACTTGGGTTTTGGTTTTGGGAGGTCTGAGCTAAACCAAAAATTCTTAATGTATTCCATGCTGGGGGAACATGAGTAGCGAGTGATCTGTGCCTAGTGTATGAACCCCCTCTCCACCCACAAGAAAAGGGGGAAAATGAAGAAAAGAATAAAAAGTTGCAGAAGGTGGCAGAAGAAGAAAATACATTTGGGCTCGCCGGTTGCTATGGGGTCTCTATATTGTGATTGGGTTCTCTAGTATAGTATCCTCTGTTGTCTCCTTGCTGTTTGTCCCATTTCTCCTTTGCTTACTGATTATATCTAATTTCATTCAGGTCATTGCAAGGGATCTCAAGTAAACGGCTAAAGCCAGAGTTTTCACGAGTTCTGCAGCGGATACCTTCTTCTGGCAGATATCCCAAGAACACCCCTCCTTGATAACTGTCACACCATATTTTGTATTTTTTTTATGGTGTAGCAGTTTATGAAACATCTGTATCATACATGTTGACATGAAAGATGGGGCTCTCCACACTGAGGACCACGAGTTCACCACTAAACAGAGACTTACTAATTTGGTTCTACGTCTGTTGGGTGGATCTTATACTGAACTCACCAAATTCTTTTGAAGAGCAAAGGGAGGGATTTAGATGGTCTAAATACACTGCAGAGTTAAACCACAGGTCCAAGTTCTAAATATGCAGGGGATCATAATCAGTTTAGTTTTGCAGATGAAGAGGGCTATATCAACGGCTGTGGATTTTTTTTTTTCATTTTTTCCTCAAAAAGGGCAATGGCTTCTAGCCATAGGATGTGTGAGGATTTATGCTGGTTTCCTGCTGTTTTCCTTATGCAGATTGGGCCATCGCTTGGAGTGCAATGGTCTCCAGAAAAACCTACTTTGGCTTGAGATTTTTCTCTAACCTGATTTTGACATTTGCTCAGAAGTGAAGGAATATCATGTTGACCAAGTGGGTTTTGGCTTCCGGTTGTTACTCTTTTAAGCTTTTAGAGGCTATTTGGGCTGTGGACGAGCGAGATCATGAAAGAGCCAACACCATTGTTTTGAGACGACTTCCACGTATGAGATCCACAGGTTTGGGAATTTCTCCGAATTGATCCATCGGTTTCACCTTTTGGGGATCATCATCATTGCCCGCAGATCACAAGTCACAAGGATGGATGTCTCTCAACTCTCTACCACTGATGATATAGTCACCATTTATCCTTATCGGAGGAAAGAAAATAGCAATTGTAGTTGGACGACCATATTGAATGGTCTGAAAACCTGATATGTTGGACCGATAGATAAAATGGTGATTGAACCATTACCATGCTAATGTGAATACTTACTACTGTTCTGCACTTGTGCTCCATCCTCCATGGTTTTTATATATATTGCCAAACACTTGGGCTGTGTTGGGATCGGAAGGGCGGAAGCCTGTCAAGGCTCTGTTTGGTTTTAAAGAAAATAAGAGAGGCAGAGTTGCTAGGAATCTCACTAAGATCTTGCTCCCAACTTTCTGTATTCTCTTATTTTCTATCAAATTTGGGTCAAGTACTCTGCAACCCAATGCAGAATTCTGAATGACAGCCCCCCATAGTCTACTAGTGCGCCCCCCTCCCTATAAACCACATCCTATCCATGAATTTGGTATCAATTCACGGTCAGGATTCATCCCCCCATATAGTGGGGTTACAAAATTTTGAACTGGACTGATCATTCTCCCTTGCAATTTTAGTTTTAATTTTCCTCTTAGGCGTTGTTCATTTTTGTACCCATGTATTTTTGCTCAGGAAATGTTGGGTAAATGAAACAATTTTCTGAATAGGTTCATTTGATTTGCAGTTGGAATCAAAATCAGAATGGTATTTTCATATGTATATATATATATATATATATATACTTTTTTTTTTCGGTTTTGGACATAAATTGAAATTGGATTGAAATCAACTTTGGAATGGGATTACATTCCCAAGGGAGGGGGAGGGAATGACCATTCCTGGTGGAATGGGAATGAAATTCTAGTTCTGCCCAACCAAATAGTTGGAATCCGAATGACCCATTCTGATTCTGACTCTAAACTCTTATTCCTATAAAACCAAACAGGCCTTAATTTTTGTGTATTGGTAGGGCGTAGGGGTATTTTAGTTTTTAGGTAAGCAATTTATCCACCTAGGAGAAAAAAATTATCATAGAAAAAAATTACTTGCACTTCTGCAAGAAAATTTGGGGAAATTGATCAACTTTCACATTGACCAACTCTCCCCCCTCCAACTGCCGTCCAGTTTCTGCGAAGTAGCAGATTCATCCTTCTATTTCTACTCTTGGTTTCATTCTTTCATTTATGCAATTCTACCCCCACTTAGAATTCTGGGAATTTAAAATGTATTTGGTTTAAGAGAAAAGGTATGGAAAGGAAGGAAAACTGATGAAAACCCATACAAGTTTTTCATGCCTTTCCCTCCTTTCCCTACCTCTTCCTTCAAATTAAACATAACCTTGAGGATTTACCTCCAACTCTCATAGGAATATTAAACATATTTCTTTGTCAAATCCAACCTGCCTTTTAACATGATCTGCTCCCAAAAGAACACTTCTCACAGGTAGGGTGGGTCTCAGTTTCATGATGAGATGAGTGGTATTAAATCACGTTGGAAGTGTGTTGGGATGGGTTTTGTTGGGAGCAGATTCCAACTTAGAATTCTACAGAGCCTGACACAAAAGCTAAGAATCTACTAGGTACCACATCACATGAGGTACCAAATATATGGTGTTAAGGGTAATCCAGATTGGCTCCCTGTAGAGTGCTCCCCGTACCAACCCTACGACACATTGTAGCTGCACATCGGGGATGTGGGGAGGAGCCAATCCAAACTGTTGTTAATGGGGCGTGTTTAAGGAGAGTTCAGATCTGCGCCCTACAATGTCCCACAGAACATCTCTACCATCTATTGAGAACATTTCCTGATGATGATATCATTTGTTCTGGTATTATCATCGAGAAATGTTCCCAATACACGGCAGGGATGTGCTGTGGGATGTTGTGGGGCGCCTCCTGGGGCACAGATGTGAACTCGCTTAAGGAACCATGGATATGAACAACTCAAACACCAATAGTTAGAATTGAGATCTGCCAAGAAAACACGTTTCAACCCTATACCAATATGATCTTACCTTGCATCTCACAATGAGATTGTGACTCACCATAAAGTGGGGTCTGCTATGTATGAGATGATATTGGTAGAGAGTTGGAACACGTTTTGTTGGTAGGTGATCCAGATTCCAATAATTAGGGCATCAATGGACTCTGAAAGTCTGAAAAAATGCAGTGGAGTTGAAATTCAAATTCGAATCTGATGTAAGATCCCCACATCACATCTAATAGGATTCAGGTTTCAGCATTGATTGAATATGGATTTGGATGGGAGAATGATGGTTCAGCCCAGGGTCAAAATCTTTAGGCACAAAGTACAGTTGGGGTGGGTGTCAGTTCGGAATTGATGTCAATTTACGGGCGGGCATTGATGTATAGAGTAGGGGTTTTTGATATTTTGAATATTTATAGCTCTGCAGTGAAATTCAGAAATCTGCATTAGACTTATCCGTATTTTTCCATTTGGATTGATTTTAGGATAAATAGACTACAGTCCAACTCAGAAATCTGAATTGCAATCCCCTCCTAATCGTACTTGATGCTGCGCAATCTGGCTGCTCCTACCTGGAGGTGATTCTGCTTCTAGTAGACGGCGGACGTGGAGAATCTGCATAGAAGGAATCAGAGAGCCCGGGGGTGCTTACCCGGCGAGGTTGATCCGATGCTTAAGTCAGTATGTGTGAGCTGAGAGTAATTAAAGAGCAAGAGAGCTAGTAAGCAGCAATTGCGCGTACCTTGGGCCCCGGGAGGGGGGCCTTTATATAATGGAGTCCTCGCGGGCTTCACGGAGTAGTTCCGAGATCAACGCCATGATAGAATCCGTTTCCGTGTTATCTAGAGATAACGTTATCAGTTGATAACGTTAATCGCTTCCGCCCAAATCGGATGGGGAGATAAATGCTTAGTTGTTATGAGGCGTGATCTCGCAGAATTCGGTGAACCGTTGGTTTGACTTTCGGGGTTGTATCGAGGGAAGATCGGTGTATCCGAGTTGGTTTCTTCCTCGAATTGCTATTCTCGAGCTAAGGGTCATACACCGAACTGAATTATGTATTGGTTCCGTGACCTAGTACTGAGGTGCCCTTAGCTCGAGATGATCTCAACTCGAAGAACCTTAGTTTGGGGTGGTGGAGTATTACTTTGTAGCAAGTTGGCTATGCCGAGTTGTCACCTATGTCGAGTCACGTCCACGTGTCCCCTTATTACGAGGTCGTGCCAAATCACCCTCCATCAATTGCCCCCCACTCCCTGAGCCAGGGGTCCTGACCTGGTGTGGTGAGTTCACGATATGACGGGTGGATTTGGCTCGACGTCTAGGCCGTCCAGTCGGATAGTACGTCGGTCAGACCAGTTCGCTGCTCGGCTCAATCAAGGATAACCCGGGTTGCGTATGGTTTACGTGCGGACGTCACGCGATCTATAAATTCCGCGGATGCCAAAAAACACGCTAAACTGATTTCAACCTCGGGGGTCGCATGGCCGGTTTTCTTGAGAGCCGTTGGGTTGCCTTGATCTTGACCGTTGATTCTCGGACATAGCGGCTATAAATAGGGGGGACCCAAGGCATTTTTCTTCGCCATAAGTTCACTAGCCTTCGCTCAGAGGTTGTGCTTAGACTCTTTAGCTCGGGTTTCCCAGTTCGCCATTTTCCCAGTTCGGTCATTTTTCTGGGTGAGTCTTCCCTAGCCTTTCTTTTCAATTTAGTTAAATTCGTAGTTATGTCCAACCTAAGTTTCGATAGTCTTTTAGATGAGCCCGAGGAAGGTACCTCGGCTCAGGTCGGTCCTCCCGAGGTGCAGTCATCCTAGGAGGCGCGAGATACCTCGGATAACCCGGCGTCCACTTCTCATCGAGGTCAGGCGCCGGACAAGTTCTGTCCCTCGACGCTGACCGTGGATAGACTTAGGGCTTTAATAGGTCAATACCACCTCCCGGACGAGTACACCTATAGTCTCCCCGTAAGTAACTTCCCTTGGGAACACGATCATAATGAGATCGTAATTTTCAAAGAGCAGCTCGTGACTGGTCTTCGCTTACCTTTGCACCCCTTGATCATAGAGGTCCTGAAGTTCTTCAACATCACCATAAACCAATTACACCCGAACTCAATCCGAAATGTAGTAGGGACTATCTCTCTTTTTTATGAGTACTGTCTACCTCTCGACCTCGATATTTTTTCTTCTATCTTGTCCATCAAGAAGAATTCTTCTTGTGTCCTTCCCGAGTATAGGCTGTAAACTTTTGCACAAACTACCCAATAGGATCCCGGCCTGGATATGGAGTTATTTCACAGTTCGTAATCCCGCAGGGTGGCCTTTTCCTACCCATTGGAGGGCTGCCACTCAGGACTCCGGTGTTAGGCTAGACCTGAAGACAAGGGAGACGCTCCATTCTTGGGTGGAGCTTGGCTTCCACTGTAAGGATTACCTTGCCGAAGATAAGCTCGTGCAGGCTGACTTGAGTCCTCGTAGGTCGTCTTGGTTTAAAGTTAATTTTGATATGGTATTCTATTCTTGTCGATGTCGTTAACGCCAAGTTTTGTTGCAGCTCCCATGAATCTTAGCGCGAACAAGCTTTTTGGGCGGATGAAAGGAAAGAAGAAGAAGCGAGCTACTAAAAGAGCTTGCACTGAGTCTCTAGATCCCGCCATCCCTGAGCCCGAACAGCCTTCCAACGCGCCTTCGGTGATTGACTTGGAGTCAGAGAAGGTCCCACCTTGTACGCTTGAGACATCTTCGAGGCCTGCCCCTATGACAACTGTTGCTTCTTCGGGGAGCAGAGAAACAGTTTGGAGTATCCTGACTCCGCAATGCAGCCTCTAAAAGAGCAAAGGAGCTGTGTATTCCGAGGAAGTCACGAGCTGGGCTGAACTAATGCCTGCTCAGCTCGGGGTTCGGGCGGCTACCCACTGTATGGTGGTAAGTCTCGTTCTACTTTGATTTTTGTATTTGTAGCTTTGCTGGTACTAATCTATACTCTTGGCAGGTGAACACCGCCGTGCATTCCTTGACTTACCTGTCCGAGCAGCACTTGAAGTGGGCTTTACCTGCTGAGGGTTCATCCTGTGAGGCTCACACTGAGCTGAATTTAGCTCGCGGCAAGATCAGTCAGCTGGAGAACAGTGTGCGAGCTCAGAAGGAGCTTATCGAATTGCTGATGTCGGAGAAGGCGGATCTGAAGCGCCAGGTGGAGAACCTTGAGGCCGACGTCAAGGAGCG